TTGTCGTATTGATGACAAAATTTGGCAGTTTAGCCACAGGTTTAGCTTTAGGTCGTGTTTATGTTGGAGCTGTGATACTCGATAAAAGCAACGACACTAATGTAGAGTATCATTAGTATCGTTGCTTTTATCGTTTATCGCAGCTCCAACATAAACACGGCCTAATACGCAGTATTGCCAGTAGTTCATCAGTAGTTGACCGAGCAATTCTGCTACCAATCGTTACCTGGCAGTGGCGCTGCCTAATTTTATTTATTTTATCGGACTTCTAGGTCACAAAAATATATAGATTTGAAAAAACTATTTTGTGCGCATTAATAAATTCAAAAAATCAATAGAAATACAAAATGCCACTCGAGAACATATCACCTTTAGATTGAGTAGGTATATACTTACCTGTGATTCCAATATGAACTTTCCCATATTGTTTAAAAAATTTCTATTAATAAATTTTCGAACAGCTCAACTTGTCTGGCAATTTTAACGTGTGAATGTACACGTATTTTAAATAAAAATACGAAATGCCAGACAAAAAAAAAACGTGGAAAATTCCATATTTTTTTTGTAACTTTTTTATTAATTTATAAATAATGGAACAGCCGAACTTGTCTGGCAAAACATCATGTTCGCTTTTGAGTTATTGAAAACACTTTGCTCAACTTTTTGTGCACTTAGAAATCACTAAAAAAAATTCGAAATTTTTGCATAATCTTCCGCGGCAAACGCGATTTCGAACTGTGATCACCGTCTGGCAATTTTTCTGCGTAATTTTCATAACAAAACCTTTTATTCTCTCGATTGCCAGACAGAAAGAAATTGTGGAAATTTGTTTTTTTTCCTTGCAAGTTGACCACTTTCCTCCACCTTTTCGACCACTGAAAACCGTCTGGCATTTTTAATTGGTGGATTATTTATCATTGTGAATCTTTTATTCGAATGCCAGACACTTTAACATCATAAAAAAACAAAATGTTTCATGCAAATGAAAATTGATTTTCCAAATTTTCGAACGGGAGGCTGGCATTAAAATCACCCATATTCTCATCAGCTTAGTAACCACATTCAGCCCTCAAAATGCCAGACAAAAAAAAATGACTCCACTGAACAGCCCCTATCTCACAGTCTATAAGTCTTGCTGGTCTCTTCTTTGCTGTAAAGTTTGCATGTTTAAAAGGGATAAAATGTCATCATAATCAATAGAGTCATAATTGATATTCAATCTAAATGCAATTTGTCTCAGAAATTTTCTTTGAACTCGCTCTATTGCATACTTTTGATTTTCATAAAAAGGAGACCAAACTGGACTGGAGTATTCTAGTACTTGCCTAACAATTGCAGAATATGCATTCCTCAAAGTAAAAATATTATTGAAATCTTTCAAATTGCGAAAAACAAATCCCAGTAGCCTCATTGCTTTATTAGAAATCCTATCTATATGCTCATGAAAGTTTAATTCCACATCCAAATAAACCCCCAGGTCTCTAATAACATAAACTCTCTCCAGTTCAACATTGTTGATAGAATAATTGAAAATGAAAGGATTCCTTAGACGCCCAAAGGACATTACTTTACACTTATCGATATTAAGAGAAAGATTATTCAATTCGCACCACTCAAAAAACCCATTTAGCTCGTTTTGCAGCGTAACACAATCCTGCAAACTTCCAACTACAATAAAAATTTTCTTGTCATCTGCAAAGTTTAAAAATTTACAATTTACAAAGTTTTGCTTGACATTATTTAAAAATAAGTTGAACAAGAGAGGAGACAAATGTTCGCCCTGAGGTATTCCCGACGTAACCTCAATAAAATCAGACAGATAGTTTTCGATTTTAACTTTTTGTTTCCTATAAGAAAGATAGTCAATAAGCCATTCAAAAAATTTACCATGAAAACCCATGGCTAATAATTTCCTAGAGAGGACACTATGATCAACCCTGTCGAACGCCCTGGAGAAATCGGTATAAATGACATCCACCTGATACCCCCCTCCAAGGCATCAAACAGGACCTGCTCAAACTCCAACAAATTTGAAGTGGTTGACTTGCCCTTCATAAAGCCATGTTGTTCTGGTGTAATTAAATGCTTAAATAAAGGTGTAATTTTGTCAGTTATGATAGCTTCGAAAATCTTTGAAAAAATAGAGATTTTGGAGATAGGGCGGTAATTCTTAACATCACAATTGTCCCCACTCTTGAAAATTGGAGTTACATAACTCAATATATCGATAGTTTATACTGCACAATATTCATATGATCAGTTTTTATATAACTTATACCGCCCTTGCTACACAAAAAATAATACTAAATTTGAAATAAAAAGTTTCCCGCCAAAACAATGCTTTCATGATGGCTACCTTTTCTGACTTCACGATTCTGTAAACAAACCTGACAATAGGGAATTTGCAAGTGAAATAAAATTTACATAAGCAGTCCTTTACAATATTCTTCATCCATTGCGACAATTTTCACAAAAAGCAAACTTAAACAACCTTAAATAACACAAAAATAGCAGTGCGTTAGCAGGAATTCGTTTGCTGCGTTTGTTGTTTAAGAAATCTTGACATCACAAGCGCTGTCATATTGAAGCCTCGCGTTTTCGCGCCAAAGTTTTTGATTTGAATTTCAATAATTTTTTTTCGTACAACGTATAAATTAAAATGGAAAAAAAGAAAACTATGTTATATCTGGTCACTAGAAGTATCTAAAAAAAATAAATTGAGAAATATGAAAATTCCCTATTATTGTAACTTCAATTAATACATAATTTGTATTCAAGCAAGCCTAGTTCATTTTATTAAATTATTACACTCATATATTGCGGTACCGATCAAACCATAGCAATCTTTGATTGTTTTTTTTTTGAAGACCCAATATATTTCCAAGATGCAGGCGAGACTAAGTTCTTCCTGCATTTTTCCTATTTGACAAGCATGCACGCACACGAATCTGCGTCTCAAACACTGAGCGACGCATGTTTTGCTTGACGCATTCGTGGCTTTCCCTGTGCTGCGTCCCAATACGCGGAGCTGTGACGCGGACGTGCATTGCTCGCTACATGATACAGAAACGTGGCGTGTACTGCCTTTGCGTGGGTTGCGTCGCATGTGTCTCAATGTGCGTCTTGCCTGAACCTTGTCTTATAAATTGGGGCACTGGTTGTTGGCTCGAAAAGACTGGATTCCACTTCTCATTTTCCAGGATCCAACCATTACATTGGGGTTCATTAGACCCCCATCTTTGCTGTGTTACTATAAAACCAAATTCTTAGCTGATGCATGCACCTAAAATTTTATGATAAAAATAAAATCAAGCTTTTGGTCCTATTTTGAAAACCGTAAGACATGGTACAAAGGTGAGTTTGAATAAATAGGTTCTAAATGACTCACTTCTGACTCCTCCTAAAATATATGCATCAACCTACCAAACACCCTGTATAAGATTCGAAACTTAAAAAAAAAATTGTAATTTGGTCGAAAATACAATAGTACTAGGTGTTCGTTTATAACTGGAACACTCAGTAACTTTCTTATATCATTGAAAATAAAGGGCATGTTTAAGTTGGAAAATTTCTTGGTGAATTGCAACCTTAAGCGCTACAATGATATTTTTTCGTCGTCATAGGTTTACAGGGTGCGCCAAAAAGGTATTTTTTTAAAATGGAATGCCCAGTATATTTTTGTTATCCAAATAATATTTGATATGTTTGTGAGGCTAACTTTCTGAGAATTTCAAAAATGCAAAAATATACTGGGCTTTCCATTTGAAAAAATCCGCAAACACAGTAAAAGCACCTCTAATAGGGACTCTTGGTATATCATTAAGATAATCGTTAAACAGTATAGGACCTTGGTCAGAGGTGCGTGCTTGCACTGACCTCTGTTGAACATCCCTGTTAATAATTTGCGTGTTTGATTGGCTTTCCCCCACTTTAACTATTTGTTTTCTCTGACTAGCATGGTGTGTATATACCTATTATCTATTCACAATCCGATGTCCAAAGGTAAAGGTAAAATGTATCACCTTTAAGTGCTATTTGATAGGGAAAGGTGATAAATTTACCTTTACCTTTGGACTACGGATTGTGAATAGGAGATATGTTCGGTCACGTTCGGTACTCCTATATTTTGTGCGATACTCTGGTAAGGAATATTTGATTTGGCATTTGCCTAAATTGAATTTCTATGTGTCGAGAACGCTATGAAGATTTTACTTTTAATGACTACTTGCATAGACTAGTGGTGGGCATTAAATCTTATAGGTTATACGATAATATATTATTTTCTACTACCGTGCGTAAAGTACTCACTTTACGCACTATTCAGAAGACGTAAAATTTCACTTCACGCACTAGTGCGTAAAGTAACGTCACTGACAGATGTTGACACTGTCGATCTAGTATTTTTCTGGTAAATTACTTCACGCACTAGTGCGTAAAGTAAAAATACTTTACGCAATAGTGCGTGAAGAATTTGTTTAAGTTAATTTTTCTTACACATATTTGATTGGTAGTAGAAAAAAATTTGTATGCAATACGTGCGTAAAGCACCTTTTTTCACTCATGTGATTGTCGCACTCGCCTTATTATCTACAAGCGTTTGGTTATGACGTTTTTACATAACCATTTTTCTAGTGTTTGAGTTATGTTATGAAACTCATAACACAACTAGTGGTGTTATGGACTAGGCTATGAGTCTATAACACAACTAGTAATGTTACGGACTAGGTTATTAATCTATTACTAGTTTTTGTGATTTATCAGATGTCATAGTTGAACCTGTAAAGGTAAAATGAAGTTATACTACTACGAAAATTGCAAAAACTTTTTCGCTTTGTAGATAAAACGTTGTATATCACGGGTGCGTTGAAACAAAACTCGTGTGATTAGAACGACTCGGTCTACGACCTCGTCGTTCTAATCTTTCACACTCGTTATTGTAATCATGTTCATAAACGCACTTGTAATGTAAATAACTATTATAACATTTTTTTTAATTGCAGAATTTTGGATCGAATATTGCAGCTACATATTTAAACTTGGTGATCAAGCCTTGTCGGTGTCCTCGAAAGCTCTCAGAAATTGTCCATGGAGTGAAGATCTTTGGGTCATGAAAATAAGAATTTTGGAGCATTTGGAGAAAAAAGAAGACACTGTCATGGAATGTTTTGAAGAAGGTATATCCGCTATCTCACCGTTGCCAGGCCTAGACCTCTGGCTAGCCTATCTGGAATACACGCATCGATGTGTTGGCTCTCCAGAAAAACTCGATAAACTTTTCAATACTGCAATTCAACAGTTGGGTTTTGAAAATGACCCACAATGCAAAATAAGTAGGTTGTTTTGTAGAATTTTAGCTCATAGAGGAGATATGAAGGAAGCAAGGAAGATTTATGGGCACATTTTGTCTAAAAGCACAAACAAAGGATTGGCGTCTATGTGGCTTGAATATGCCAACATTGAAAGACAATATGGAGAACAGCATAATTTGAGAGTTGTGTTTCAGAGAGCTTTAAATGCTGTGCAAGATTGGCCTCAATCAATTATAGATGAATGGGTCAACTATGAGAGGCATATGGGAACTTTGGAGGATGTAATGAAGTGTCTGGAAAAATGCAGACAAGTAAATGGGACTTTTAAGCAAAATTATCTGGTTGAAGAAGCAAAATCTCAACAAAACCAAGAACCCTCAACATCGAAAGTAAAACAACATTCTGAAGGCAAAAAGCGTAAAATGGACTCTCTAGAAAGTAATAGTAAATTCAAACGTCTAAAAGAAGAACATCCAAAAAAAGAAACTAAAAAGCCAGAAATTCAAAATAAAATTCCTGTCGATAGAAATCCAAAAACAACAGTATTTGTTAGCAATTTGTTGCCAAGTGTCACTGAAAAAAAATTAGAAACAATTTTTCCAAATGCCGTTAACTTGGAGATAGCAATAGGCAGTAGAGGACAATCCAGATGTTTTGGCTTTGTGCAATTTAAAACAGAAGAAGAAGTTATGGTTGCTCTAGCCAGAGACAGAGAGCCTTTGGATGGCCGTCCGGTGTTTATTTCTGAAATAAAGACAAATCCAACAGAGAAAAAACCTATTTTTAAATATGCCACAAACGAAGAGAAAAACAAACTATTTGTTCGGGGGTTGCCTATAGTAAAAACTAAAGAAGAAATTGTGGAAATATTCAAGAAATATGGAGCCAAAGATGTCAGATTGGTACTTCACAAAAGTGGTCAACCAAAAGGCTTGGCCTATGTAGAATTCGAGAGCGAAAAGCAAGCAATTGAAGCCATGAATAAAACCGACCAAACATCAATCGATGACCATGTAATAACAGTGGCCATTAGTGCTCCACCTCCTAAAAAAGACAAACAAGATTTTTTCGGTAGGACTTTTAATAAAAGAGACAGTGATGAACCAACTAGGCATCCTAAAAACAGATTGCAAACCTCGCTGTTGCCGAGGTCGTTACAGGTAAAGGGTGGTAATGAGAAAAACGATGCTAAAAATGGTGAAGCGGGAACGAAGATGAAGAATAATAGTGATTTTAGAGCTATGCTTTTGAAAAAGTAGATTGTTTACTTTTTTTTCCAATTATTTTTATGTAATACATTTATTATATGACATTATGTAGCTGGTCAGTAAATATTCATGCCATTTCTTGTGTTTCCTTTGTAAATTACATACTTTGAGGATTGTGGCTACATTAGTCTTCTTATGAGTGAATGCTGTTTCCTTTGAACTTTTTAGATTATTCTAGAGATTGTTAGGACCTGTTAAACATTTTACTAGGCTTTCTATGATAAAAAAATGTAGACCAGAAAAAATTAAGTGTTTTACAGAATTAGTATGAACCCAGCCTATGCACATCCCACTTGAAATTCAATATTAAAAGGACAGTCCTTTTAATATTGAATTTCAACTGGGATGTATGGAGCATATAGAGTCCTTTAAGGACTCCATATGCTCCATATTAATGTTTTCAATCATTCGATCCTTAAAACCTCCGCAGCTGTTTGGAAAAACAGCTTCGTAATTTTGAATAAAATCGTAACGTAGTGTTAAAATAACGGGACAGAGGCTGTCCCGGCGGCATATAGGCAGAACTTATAACGGCTAAGCAATAGGCGTTTAAAGTCGAGCGCTGATTGGCTATTGCTAATAGAGTGTAGGAACCTTTTGCCCACGCCATTTAGGCAAAACTTACAACGAAGTAGCAATGGGCGTTTCATATAGGGATTTGATAATTTACAAGTGACAAATTGAATCAGTTATAATCAAGAAAATTCTGACTTATCCAAACTAACTCAAAATAAACTGTCTGCCTATGATGCTATTCAGTCTTTGTAAGCTAGCATTTTATTTATAAAACAAAGTGCGCTTGTGGGACGCTATGCACTAAACTGAATTAGTTTTTTTTTTTTTAATAAAATGTTACTTTACCAAGTACCAGACAGGGGCTGATGGGGAGCATAAAACCGGCCCGGGAAACCGTTGGCACCGGCCCGGCCGCATGTAAGCACTTTGTACATGTATTGGACAAACGCAGGGCGATACTGGCGATAGAGTGAAGTTATCTCATTGGTCGATACCAGATAACAGTAGGTAGGTACACATTGCTATACAAACGCCGAATAAATGTACAATTTGCCACCGCATGCCCTCTCGCCAGAGGCGCCAAATAACAGTACGAATTGCTCTGCATATAGGTACCTCAAATGGATGTACGTTTTGCCGTCTCTGCGCATAAGCTTCTGTTTTTGTTTAAGTATTAACGGCAACGTTTTATGATGCTAGCACGTTTTGTTGAGCTGATTTCAATACTCTAGTAATAATGTTTGCAAATGATATGGAACTACCTCAAACTTTCGAATACAAAACGGAAGAAGTTACTAACAATAGCAATGGGATAACAATTTACGCAAATTTTAACAGTCTGGAAAAAAAGTGATATGTGGATCCAAGAATATTCATATATTATATCACAAGAGCTTTAAATTTAATCGATTAAACTATTCAACATATATTGAGCATGATTTTGCTTGGAACATAGTTGAATGCACAATTAACTTAATTTGAAAGTTATTGTGCATAAAACTATTTGCCAAAAAGCAAAATTATGCAAAAAATATTTGGATAGTTTAATCCATTTAAATTTATAGGTCGAGTGGTATATACCTACGGCTAGATTATTTCCTGAATAATTAGGATTGAATTGTTGGCGTCAATCCTATCCAAAGAGTTCTATTTATTATAAAATGTCAGATTATTTCTATCAAAATTCTGTCAGAAAAGGTAAACAAAAATTTAATCGCTGATAAACAAGGTCTTGTGAAATAATCACTTATTTAAATTAAATTCATTCAAAAAATGACGTTGTCTGATGGGTCTATTTTATAATGAATGAAATAATCAAGGTTAAACCACACGAAATGAATTGTACGTGATAGCGCTCCCAATTTAAAACTTTTCGTGTGTTCGTACGTAGCTAAGTTCGATTAATGTCCTATTATACTGGTACAGTCGTGAGCAGAAAATCCGTTGTACAGAAAAGACTGATTTACCCAAAATAGCGAAAAATGACAAGACCTGTCAGTCGGGTTTCCCACTTTTTGTGCTCACGACTGTACATATATAATACTATAGCTGTGCTGGAGTTGGAGTGCTACTCATGATTCTTTGGTGTAACAAATGATGGGGATTTTTTTTTTTAGGGTTTTGGAAGTGGTGGTGGGCAGAAAGAATAGAGCAAGATATTATACATTATAGCAATAAATCTTTCAAAAAAATTCTCATGCAATTTTAATTTACTGGCATAGCGTACACGGAGATGACGCGACTCTGCCAATATGTACTGTTATCTGGCATACACATGCATTTTTAATTCATCTGCAAAAGGTACATGACTATGACTCCGCAATGGCAAAACGTACTGCTATCTTGAATCAACCAATCGGAAAGCGTAGATACAGACTATTTGCCATATCCATGTACGAAGTGCTTACATACGGCCGGGCCTGCTGGATCAGTATTTGATTTTGGAGGCTGTGAATGAATCGCGTCGCAGCTAATTTTTTTTTAAGTTCAAGTTCACGCAGCTTCAAAACCTAGTAGTCCCATTTTTTTTGGTATTATTTGATAGAGGTAACACAAAAAACTCTTGATGAAACTTCCTGGACTCAGGCAGCTCAAACTCTTCATGGAAGGACCATCTAAGAGCAGAACAGAAGAACAGCTTAGCTTAAGCAGGTGACAAGATTGAGAGATGTGGTTGGATTGGATTGTTGACAAGACACTGTCCTCTCAGAAAACACCTAAACACAATGAAGCTAGCTGTGCGAAAGGTGTGCAGAGGAAGATGAAATGCCAAAGTCCTAAACAGATGGCAAAGACAGCGGCATTTTGGGACACAGTATCCGAAACCAAAGGAAATCGCAAAAGCGAATATCAGGGACATCCTAGGTTTTACTAAGGGAATAGACCTAATATGAAAACTTCAGGGGGGCACATTGAGCCACGAGCTCCAGTGCAGGTGTCCGCACACCCCAGAGGAGAGAAAAGAATAGAATAGGGGTACATATTTGGGAATAAAAATATAAAATACTCATTTTAAAACCATTTTATGTATTTTTCCAAATCTCAGATCAGGAAATTTCGTGGCTTGATTTAGGACAATAAATTAATGAATAGTGGGGATACGGACAATTTTTATTTTTTCAGAAGCACACAAAAAAATGAAAATTGACGTATCCGAGAGGAAAATCAGGAAAGTGTTGATTCGAGAATAACAGGGCCAAAAGATTGTTTATTATTTATCCCATGGCAACTTTGACAGTGATTATCTTGAGAACTAATCACTCGATCTTCAAAAAAAATACGCAGTTGTGTCGAGAATCAAAATACTTTTAAAACAAGGTACCACTCTTCCCTATCTGAAAAAGTGGGGTGAGAGTCACCCCACCCAATGGGTGCAACTTACCGTGCGTTCGTTATTTTGGTCTGAGTTCTCCGAGCTTGACTTTACCGTTCGTTTATTTGAAAAGTGTACTCGGTGCAGCCTCATTCGCGTTCGTTTATTAAAATTTCTGGCACTTTTATACAGCGTTCAACTCTGTTCGCTCGCTGGTCATGTGATTACGGCTCCGCTCAGCACGCTCTGCTCTTTGAGCAAAATACCGAACGCAAGGTTAGCAAAATACCGATGGGGTCAAAAAGTTTTCCCCTTGAATACAAAAATGTGTTCGAGCGTTTTTTTTTTAAATCGACCTCAAAATACTCTAAAACGCCTCTGTTTCGATGTTCGTGAAACACCCTGTATGCTTCGGTCCAACCGGCCCGGAAGCAAGCGGCCCTTCGGGAAACTTCCCAAAATCCCTGCCGGCCCATCCGCCCCTGGTAGCAGATCGCATAAGGCGGATGGGTTAGTTTGGGTTCTTGATTATTATCAGACGGGGAAAAGCAACAAAACATGCCTAATCGAACCCCTACGTTAGTTTGACGTTCTTCCAATTTGTCACACGTTGATACCTAATAATTATTTTGGTTTTACATAAGAAATTCAACCCTTGGATTTTGGTGTAAAACGCAACGGTAAAGGTAATTTCGCAAATACGTAAAAGAAAACTTCACAAATACGTGAAAGTTAAATTAAAAAAAGTAAAAGTTGCAATTTTGGTGTTTTATAACGATATAGGTATTACCTTAACATTGCCCCGAAATAGGGTCGATGCGCCAGTAGGCCGGCCTCCACCAATAGTCGGCCACAAACCACTTTATTGGGAAATAACTTGAATTTCCCGCGAATTTCCAGTTGTCTGTAAGTGCAGTTAACATCTTTCATATCTATGCAACCCGAATGCCAAATATCAGTTTCCCTGTACCAAACTTCAGGACTGAAAAATCCCGCCAAATGTAAGCTTGTCTGTGGTTAGTGTTGTATCTTGTTTTTGAAATTTGTCTGAACTTGCGCTATGGATAATGGAAAGGTGAGTAACATACAGAGCTGTCAAAGATACTTTTGAAAAGTATCTAGTTACAAGATAAGTTACTATTGGAAAAAGTATCTGAAGTTACTTCGGGTATTTAGTTACTCATTGAAAAAAGGATCTTAAATACGTATCTAAGTTACTTTTTAAGATACTTAATGTTGGGTTCGGAACCAACCCAGAACCAGTTGGTGCAGAACCACAGACTACAGGACGAAAACGGCCGGACTACCCAGAGCGCACAAGCGAGACCTGGGCTACTAGGTTCGGCAGCGATCAAGGAAAAGTTTTTCCTGAGGAATGGTATAAAGCACGTTACAATACCACCTTATCATCCACCAAGCAACGGAGCTGCAGAAAGGCATGTAAGAACCTTCAAACAAAAAATTAAAACAGCTCTAGAAGACCCAAGAAATAATGGAATCAGGTTGCATACTTTAATTTCCAGGTACCTAATCACTTACAGAAATACCAAGTCCGAAATAACTCAAAAATCCCCTGCGGAGATGGTTTTCAACAGAGAACCGAGGACAAGGCTCAGCCAAATGAAAGAAATTCCACTAAAAAGTTCATCAGAAAGTCAAGATACACCAAATAAGATCAGGGAATTTCAAAAAGGCGACTCGGTGATGGTCAGAAAATACCAGTACAATAAGAAATCGTGGACGCCTTC